CAAGGTATTCTTGAGATCCCATTATTATTTCTGTAGAATTGAAAGATCCTTGTTGCTAAGCAGCTAAATCTAGAATTTAGTCACCTGAGAGACAAAAGATGAGGGCTTATGTTTCCCTTTGTTCTGTGGTCTCAGCTACAAACCTTCATTCATTGATAAAGGGTGGTACAAACAATAGACAGAAAGGGCCAGGGAAACTACTGTTTCTTCTGGTGGTAAGTCATTTATCAAGTTTGGTTCTATGTGTAATTTTGTATTCAGAATAGTCCATTGGTTAATGTGAAGTCTTAATTTTTGTTTTGTTTTCCTTTTTAAAGATATGAGTGACTTGAGCATGGGTATAGGTAGGGTAACCAACCATTCCAGTTTGGTTGAGACTGAGGGGATTGCTGGGTGCAGGACTTTCAGTTTTAAAATGAGGACAGTCCTGGGAAAATCAGATGAGACAGTTACCCCAATTGCCAGTAGGGAATAGGTAAAGTAATAGAAGATGAAGATACAGTTGAGTGTGGGGAAAATTGATAGAAACAGTCCTCAGGTGGAAGAGACTCTCCAATGGGTCAGATATTAGTGACAGACAGATAGGAAAACAGTGCATTAGGGCATTGGAGTAAGAGGGAAGATGGGTAGAGAGGGGTCTTGAATTTGAAATAGCTGTGGGAAAAGGAAGAAAGGGTTTATCAAACATGCAGAAGAGGTCTGTTGTCTCATTTGAGAGTCCACTAACATTGGAGAACATGGATTTCTAGTGGTACCACTTCACAGTATCCATGGAAGAATGATGGTACTTCAGGAGCTTTGGTCTCTGGAAGTCCTAGGAATGAAAACAACGAGTCTGGCTTAAAGATTTTTTTTTTGAAGTTATTCTCCTGTTATCAGCTCATGCTGAGCTCCAAGAAAAAGAACAATATGATGCAGGTTTGTGTGGCTTATCAGTCCTTTCCACAACATTGTATCATTTATTAGTTCTTTCCATTTTCAAACCTCCCATCACAACTCTCACTCCATAATAAGTAGAAAATATATCAAGAGAGATACAGAGGGTAAATCTGGCAGTTAGGATTTCACCCTGATTCAGAGATCTTTATTCTTGGAAGTTTTGTCTATCAACTTTGCTTTTCTCTTCCATGCTTCTTGCACCTTGTGGAATAAGGTGCCTAACTTGCACCAATGAAAACTGCTCAAATCAATCCAGCCTCTTTAGGCAAGTTAATTGCAAGGATAATGTTCAGACTGAAACAAGTTTTCCCCATCTACCAGCATCCACATAGCCAATCTAGGACAAGAAAAGAAAAACCTTAAATATTTTATACTAGAAAGGAAGGGTACTTGGATAACTAAATACTGTGACTGAAAGACAATGAGAATGGATTTTCAGCTACTGGCACTATACATGAATGAGGAAACTCAGAACATTGAGGAGGTGTGAATGCAATATCCAGGGGAATAAAGAACAGAACAATATGACATAGGAAGTTTTGAAGTATCTGCTGAATTTTATATCTCCATTGCTTATGCTGAGGATTCAGGACAAGTTATTTCAGTTCTGATTTGTATATTCTCTTTTTAAGCCTTTCACAAAGACATTAGTTTGGGGATTTTTTTTTTTTTCAGAGTAGCATTGGTAGCTTTGATGAAGGAAAGGAGAAAATATGTGAAGAATTAATGCAGTTCCTGCCCATCCCTCCCCACCCTCCCCCCGCCACCGCCCCAGCCATTTGTGTCATTTAGGACTTTCAAGAGTTAAAGATTTGGCATATATTGCTTGAAGGGATGAAATTGATAGCAGAGCTCCAATGGATTGGAGACAAGAACATTAAGAGAAATGGGAGATGATGAAAGACAAAAGTGTTTGGATTCTCTTCGAGTTTGAGAAATAGGTATAGCAAAAGAAAGGGAGAGCTGGAAAAATGAAAATTATTGGTAGATTGCTTAGGATATATAAAATTTTTTGTGTATTGACAAGGTATAGATTATGACTATGAGTGGGTAGGCTGAATTATACTGAAGATGACTTGAAGAGGTTAAAGAAAAACTTTTTAAAATTCTGGCTTGTTTTCACATGAGTTGTCTAAATACTCGCTAATATTACTTTAAGATGAGGGTACCATTTTAGGTGGAGAATAATTTTATTAGTCAGGGGCCAAAGCCTTTGAATTTTGTCCAAGAGCACTGAGGGTGGTTGAAGAGACATGTAGTGAGATACATGGTTTGGTGTTGATGCTGTGGGCTGTGGAGAAGAGGAACTCTGGACCTTGTAGTACATGTGACTTCCGGAGATGGGATTTCTCAGGAGGAAGCCTTTAGGCAAGTGGTAAATTCTGTTGAAACTCAGATTTAACAGGGTAAGCAGATGTAGGGAGCTTTCTGTGAAGAGGTTCAGGATGGAGTTTGGTTCTCTGTCTGTCTCCTTTTGTCATTAAAGGAAGACTCTGGAAAGCACAAGGGAAGGTGTAAGAAGGGAATATAAGAGAACTTGAATCAGAGCAAAGAAAGCATTGATTAGAAATGGATTTAAAATCCAGGAGATGATTGGTGTTGGGTCAGGCATGTTCAATTTTATATCTTCTATGTAAGTCTCCTTAGCTTAGCTTAATTTAAATGCTCTTCCTTTTTATTCTTGTAAGAAACAGCACCTACCTTCATCAATATGTTGATCACAGTCAGAGGTGAATTTAAGTTTCTGGGCCTAATGCACCTACAAGATGAGAGGCCCACTTTAAGAAAAATAATACCAAGTTACAACTGCAGAAAATAAGTATGAAAACTTATTTATTTTAATATTTTATTTATTAGCATAAGAAAGAAGCCACAACAAATTATAAATATTAAAAGGTTGAAAACACCATAAACATCAAAAAATTTAATCTCCTCATATTTATATTAATCAACTTCCTGACTCACTTCTACAATTCCTTTTCCCTACAGTTTTTAAGTTGCTGCTTATTTAATTGCCTCCCTTAAGATAATTATCTTGTTATAATTTCTGTGGCAAGAACTGAAAGACATTTGCCTTTCTCTAGCATGTTTAATAAAAATTTACTTTGTATTATTAATAGTTTGGAAAAGAATATTCAGCTTCACAGCTTGTTGGCAAGAAGATAATTAATTTTGCTATTGTGAAATTTTAGAAAACCTTTGTTAAGTCTTTTATGTATAAGTTATAATATTTCAGGGCATTTCAGATTTTTCTTATATAGTGACTAATCTTGATCACTCTTAATTTAATGACTTCCATAAAATCCATTGTTGAGCCTCTTACGGGGTCTTTATGGAGGTCTGTACAATGAGAATCCCTGAAGCATAAACTTCATTATCTTTAGATTAAAATGGTTTTGATCATATTATAATTATCTGTTTATTTGTTTCTATACAGGCTCAGGGCTTATTAACCTCATTGTTGACAGTCATTTGATACTATATGAAATATATGGACATTCTCCTCAGCAAAAAAACAAGGCACGAAATATATGAAATATTAAATGCAATATTATAGACCTCCTAAAGCTTATTTTTGCTCCTGCCACAAGCTTCTGCACTAAATTGATAATTTAGTTAATGTTCTGTATTTTAATTTTCTTTCTTTAATATCTAGCACAATGTCCTGCACTTTGTATGCTCCAAACACATAAAGTCTTGTTTAATAAATAGGAAAAGAAATGGATGAGTGTTGCCAGCTAGACTATATGACAGGTGCAGAAATTTCTTTCTCTTTCTTTCTTTCTTCCTTCCTTCCTCCTTTCTTTTCCTTTCCTTTTTTTCCTTTTCCTTTGCCTTTCCTTTCCTTTTTTTTTTTTTTAAGACAAAGTCTTACTCTGTTGCCCAGGCTGGAGTACAGTGGTGTGAGCTTGTCTCTCTGCAACCCTCTACCTCATGGGTTCAAGCGACTCTCGTGCCTCAGCCTCCCAAGTAGCTAGGATTACAGGCATGTGCCACCACACCCAGCTAATTTTTGTATTTTTAGTAGAGAGGGGCTTTCACCATGTTGACCAGACTGGTCTCAAACTTCTGACTTCAGGTGATCTACCCGCCTTGGCCTCCCAAAGTACTGGGATTACAGGCATGAGCCACTATGCCTGGCCAAAATTCCCCACTTTCAAAAATTGTTGGTAAATATATTTGAGCAAACACTGGGACTCTTCCCAGGCAATCCTAAAATACCAGAATCTCCAATGGCTTTGCCCTACTAAGACAAGAGTTTCTTTTCCCAAGACCTTTAAACTGCACAGATTCTCATTTTCTCTTCTGAAAGCATCTCCTTTTGTCTTTGGGATTCTCCTGTCAGTAATTAGAGAGAACAGCATTAGTCTCTCCATACCCTTAAATGATGTCAGTGTTTAATGAATTTTTTTCTTTTCTAAAAATTGTAATACAATATGAATGCATTTTAGTAGCATTCATTTATAATCCAAGACAATTTGCCACCCCTACTGCTGTTTTCTATTTTTCATTGTGTACAGAGCTATACAAAGCACTATAGAGGATACTAAAATGAATGAAAATCATAAGCCCTGTAGTAAGAATCTGTCAATCTAATAAAGTTATGAGCAAAGATGAATACGAGGAATAGTAAATAACTTAGAGATAAAGAAACTATAGTACATCATCAGATTGACGCAACTCGACACAGACTTGTGATTATTTTTGATGTTTCCAGTTTTGACAGTCAAAGGAGACACTATCAATAGTTATTACAAAAGCAACAGGCATTAACTAATATTATCTTGGACAAATTGAGATATAGAGCCACCCTACACTTAAGGTTTTTTACTTTTGCTTTTACTTTTTGTTATGGACATTTTGATACTGTTTTCACCACTTGGCCAATGTTGTCTTATCTATGACCCCAGCTCCCCAACCCCATTTACTAAAAGCAAATCCAAAGCATTTTCTTGATTCATCAACCAGTTTTTCACCACTCCATTCTTTTTCTCACCTGATTTCCTTTCTTATCCCCGTTCCAACCTATCTGTTTATTTTTACTTCCAGCACTGCAGTTCTGATCTAACTTTGCCAGGACACAGATCCATAGGGTCAGCCCTGCATCCTGAGCAGCTCAGAGGGAGGAGCCAGACCAGCGGTGCCTCACACCTTGTCCTCTTCTGCTCTGGACAGATGGCTCCATAACGACAGCTTCATAATGTTAGTAGATGGGACCCTGCTGCACATCAGGGTCACTCTTCTGCTGCTCTTGCTTGGGGTGTGTTTTTCCATTTCCGGCTACTTTCAGGCTGGGCCCTCCCAGCATCTCACTCCCTCAGAAGTGGTGATCCCCTTGAAGGTGATCAGCAGGGGCAGAGGTGCAAAGGCTCCTGGATGGTTGTCCTATAGCCTGCGGTTTGGGGGCCAGAGACATGTTGTTCATATGAGGGTCAAGAAGCTCTTGGTTTCTAGACACCTCCCAGTGTTCACCTACACAGAGCAGCGGGCCCTCCTAGAGGATCGGCCCTTCATCCCAGATGACTGTTACTACCATGGTTTCGTGGAGGGGGCCCCTGAATCCTTGGTTGTTTTCAGTGCTTGTTTTGGGGGCTTGCGAGGAGTATTACAAATAAACGGTCTCACTTATGAAATTGAACCCATCAGGCACTCTGCCACATTTGAACACCTGATTTATAAGATAAACAGTAACGAGACACAATTCCCAGCTATGAGATGTGGCTTAACAGAGAAGGAAGTAGCACGCCAACGGTTGGAATCGGAAGAGGCTGAGAACTCAGCTCTGAAACCAAATTCTGTTGGTGACTGGTGGACCCATGCATGGTTTCTGGAGCTGGTTGTTGTGCTGAACCATGATTTCTTCATTTACTCTCAAAGCAACATCTCAAAGGTGCAAGAGGATGTATTTCTTGTTGTCAACATAGTGGATTCCATGTATAAGCAATTAGGTACTTATATACTTTTAATTGGAATTGAAATTTGGAATCAAGGAAATGTTTTCCCAATGACAAGCATAGAACAGGTCCTAAACGATTTTGCTCAATGGAAACACATCAGTCTTTCCCATCTACAGCATGATGCTGCACATATGTTCATTAAAAATTCATTTATAAGTATACTTGGTCTAGCCTACGTTGCAGGAATATGTCGTCCACCTATTGATTGTGGAGTTGATAATTTTCAAGGAGACACGTGGTCTCTTTTTGCCAACACTGTGGCCCATGAGTTAGGTCATACTTTGGGTATGCAGCATGATGAAGAATTCTGTTTTTGCGGGGAAAGAGGTTGCATCATGAGTACTTTCAGAGTGCCTGCAGAGAAATTCACCAATTGTAGTTATGCTGATTTTATGAAGACCACTTTAAACCAGGGATCATGTCTGCATGATCCTCCCAGATTGGGGGAAATCTTTATGCTAAAGCGTTGTGGGAATGGTGTGGTTGAAAGAGAAGAGCAGTGTGACTGTGGATCTGTACAGCAATGTGAACAAGATGCCTGTTGTCTGTCGAACTGCACTCTGAGGCCTGGGGCTGCCTGTGCTTTTGGGCTTTGTTGCAAAGACTGCAAGTTCATGCCATCAGGGGAACTCTGTAGACAAAAGGTCAATGAATGTGACCTTCCAGAATGGTGCAATGGATCATCCCATCAGTGTCCAGAGGATAGATATGTGCAGGACGGAGTCCCCTGCAGTGACAGTGCCTACTGCTATCAAAAGAGTTGTAATAACCATGACCAGCATTGCAGGGAGATTTTTGGCAAAGATGCAAAAAGTGCATCTGAGAATTGCTATAAAGAAATCAACTCTCAGGGCAACCGTTTTGGTCACTGTGGTATAAACGGCACAACATACCTAAAATGTCATATCTCTGATGTCTTTTGTGGGAGAGTTCAATGTGAGAACGTGAGAGACATTCCTCTTCTCCAAGATCATTTTACTCTGCAGCACGCTCATATCAATGGTGTCACCTGCTGGAGTATTGACTACCATTTGAGGATGAACACACCTGACATTGGTGAAGTGAAAGATGGTACAGTGTGTGGCCCAGGGAAGATCTGCATCCACAAGAAGTGTGTCAGTCTATCTGTCTTGTCACACGTCTGCCTTCCTGAGACCTGCAATATGAAGGGGATCTGCAATAACAAACATCACTGCCACTGTGGCCATGGGTGGTCCCCGCCCTACTGCCTGCACAGAGGCTATGGGGGTAGTGTCGACAGTGGCCCAGCATCTGCAAAGAGAAGAGTTTTGACAGTGATTATGATTCCTTCTTTGTCTGTTTTGATTTTCCTGTTTACTATTGGGCTTCTTATGTATCTACGACAACGTTCTGGTCCCAAGGAGACTAAGGCTCATTCATCAGGTTAAGAAAATGTCTCTAATTGAATATTCCATGCATTATTACACTTTAGTCTCTTGGCAGTGGAAATGTTAGTACATCCCTGAAAGTCAGCACATTTCTGACCATTCCCAGAACGCTGCAAAGATCTTCCCTTAAGTCAGTACCACAAACATTGTCATTACGTGCAGGTGATTCTTTACATGTTTCTATTGTTCATTGTTTTAAGCAGCAAATAAAGGTACATCGTTGTTATGTTTAGTCCGTATTCTGTTTAGTCCTTGTTATGTTTCTTGTGCGTAGAGATGACTTATGGAAAAAGCATGAGATATGTCTGCATCAGAGTGTCCGCAGTGAGGCTTACCTTGTTACTGACATTTATCAGTGTGGGAAAATTAAATTTTCTGACACTCTGCTTCAAAATATGAAAAGGAATAGGGATGATAATAATATTTGTCCTACCCAACTTTTTGGGTTTATTTGGTAACCAAAAAAGAGAAAGAAATGAATTTTTTTAAGTGTAAACAAACCATTGTCTGATAAAAGCTTCTGACCTTACTCCGTTTGCTTCCTAACTTTTTGTCTTAATTTGGCAGTTTGGATATTTTTTTGGAGTATTTGCTTCACATACCAAAGTATAAACTCCATGAGGGTGAAATTGTTTTTATCTGTTTTGCTCACCGTTGTATCCTCGATACCTGCCACGGTGCACAGTGCTTTCTACCCAATGAATACTTAAGTAATGAATTCGAATGGAGTATTAAATATGTGAAATTAATCACAAAAAGTAAAAATAATAGTTTGCTACCTTTGGGATGTCATTATAATCCTCTTTTTAAAACTACTGGAGCTCTTGCTCTAAATTAAACTTTAAATACTTAAAATATGTTTATTTTAAATGCTGCTGTTTGAACCCAACATACTTTACTGGTTTTTTTTTTTCCCCAGTATATCTTCTCCTCAGTCTATTCTCAGTGTTTTTGGAAACCTTCTCTCTTGAAAACACAGAGTGAATCAGATAACCTTTGTATTGATCAGTTAACTTCTGAATGGCACTCTGTAGATTTAGTCAAACAACTTTTTGCATATCATGTTTCATTATGGTTTGCCATTTGCATTTCTACATATTTTTTAGGATATATTTGGCTCTGTCATTCTCTGTGTATTTGTACATGCCATCCTCATTCCCCACATGCTGTTTACCACCCTCCTCCTACTCCCTTACCCTGGAAAACTCCTATTTTCTCTCCATAGAAGTTAAATGTCATATCTTCGTAGAAGCATCCCTTATGAAATGATAAGAGTTCCACTTGTGTGCCCCCGTCACTTTGTGGTCACTCCTTTATGGTTTGATGCCCTCCAGGAATAGAGATGGAGAGGATCCAAAAATGTGCTAGGACAAAGGACATCTAGTGGAGTCATACAAGGAAGGAGGAGTGAATCAAGAATACAACCTGGTTAAATCAGAGAAAGCTCCACATTTCATAAGTCTACACATCTATATGGAGACCAAAGATAGCTGCTCCAGTTTATTCTTTTTTGAAATGGTTTATTTAAAAAAAAACATTGAACTTGATTATAGTAAAATATATCACCCTAATGTTCTCTTATATTTGCTGAGTTTTGTATTTCTGCTTGAGATTACTTTGAAATAATCCATTTTTTTTCTGGAATTACTTTGGTTTCCGCTTTTATGCTTAATTGTGGAATTTATTTTGCTGCAAGGAATAAGATAGATATCTAATTGTACACTTTTCCAAATGGGTAGTGAGTTGTCCTGATAACACATTATAGAATAAATTCTTGATCACTGCTTTGGTGGTAAATTGGGATCCTGTATTGCATTTTAAAGTTAATTTGTTAGAGTCACCTTAATTTACTTGTAAATTTTTACAAGAAGCAGTGCATTTTGCAATATTCTTACTTTTGGAAAAGCTGTATACTTTATATTCATTGAGTTACTTAGAGCTATATCAATTATATCAGGATTGATAGATGTAATTAACCTTTTTATAACAAGCATAGAATCTTACCTCCTGTTTTAATTTAGATTGTCTAAAAATCAGACCTAGAGACAGGATTTAGGTGGAGTTAGTTTTTTGGGGAAGCACAAAACAGAATAGACTAATGACCAAGTTTTCTGTTTATACTACTGGAGTCATTCCTGTGGGCTGTCTGAGAAGTCATGTGAAACACAGCTTGGCGTAATACTCCATGGTTCAGGAGAAAGCTGTAAGGAAAAGAATACCTGAGACATAAGCACTTGAAGTGGTAAGCTCTCAGAGCACAGAAATTGTCTACCGTGGCTGCAAGTGAACTCAAGTGGGACAAGAAGATGTAGGGTGGGTTTTCAGCATCTACTCTACCCAGGTTCCTTAGAAAACATATGCTGAGGCAGGGAAACCGGTTTATTTGGAAAATGCAATCCTAGGAAAATGAGAGTAAAAGTAAAGGTTTTTGGAGCTGGAAAGTATGGTACAGCAGATGCTGGTGGTACCCACCTGTATCGTCTTAGGCTGACCCTTGAGGTTGTCTGTCTTGAGCTACTGATGACAAGTCCTGTACACACTAATGGCTTTCTACTTTATGGGGGTGTGCTCAGACCATTCATGGAGTAGGCTGGAAGCAAGAAGGAGTTAATGCATCTAAACCAATTCTCAATCAATGAGCATTGTGTGAATGAGCATGATAGCTTCCCCAGTCCTCATGGGACTTCTCTGTGGTCTTAGGGCCCAAGTGAGGCTGTACATTGTTACTAGAACAGGAACTGGGTCTCGCCACTTTCCCTCCAAAAAACCCTCAAAAAGCTCTCTTCTTTTCTTCAAAAGTCTTCTTTGAGCATCTATTGAAAAAGCTGACTGGAGACGGTTGCAGTCTATCCGATTCTCCCTCTGACTCTCCCCCATAGACTTTCTTTCAAACTGTGTCTTAACTGTTATTAACCCTCACTGTTTTCTTAACAGTTTAGGCACAGAACTGACATCCCTTTGCTCCAGTCTTACAAACCCTGGCCATGTGAACTAACCCACTGACTGCTGGGTATATCAGCATCTAGATTTTGCAAAATCTAATCTGAACTTGTTTTCATTTCTGCTGATGCAAGTGCCTGATGGATCAAGTCCAGAGCATGGATGCATGACAAGGTATGGCATCCATGACCAGCAAAACAATGTCACACTAGTTCTCTGGTGAGTTGATTGGACACTTCGATAAAACCTTGAAAACTGATCTCTGTTTAGGTAAAGACATTAGAAATTTTTCCCTATGTATTGTAGGCAGAGATGATGCAGGACCTTTCATAGGTAACTTCCGAAGGCAGTAGTACAATCATTCCACAGATGGCACACATAAGCTTCTCAAAAAGGTCATAAATGGTCCTTCCACTGACTTATGGTTCAAATACTTGCCATATCACCAGAGGTTATGGATGGTCCAGAAGTCAGCCCTGAGCAACCTGGATTTGCTCACTTGCTCCTCTCAATAGATTGATAGGCACCAAAGATTACATGGAGATAGTGTGGTGAATATTCCAAAAATGTGGAATAACTTGGCCAGGTGACAAAATCAAGCCCTATAGCCGCCAAAACCAAACTAAATTGATATTGTGCAATCTGTTCAAGCTCAAAGCACTTTGGAAACTGTAGTTCCAGAAGTGACTATCTGACCTGCCTTTTCCTGAATGTAGCAAGCCATAAAGCTTCCATGGAGAAAGATGCCTTCCCTGTCCCAGGACAAGAAAATAACCCTATCCCCAGGATTGGAAATTGTTGCTCCAGTAGACCTGTACAAATAAAGTAATTCTTATCTCCCACTAGCTTTATATCTCCTCCTTGACACTCCCCACTAGTATATCTCCTAGTAACCTCCCTGGAATTCACTGTCCCTAGCTTAGATCCTTTTGTGGATCAATAAATTCACAAATGTATTGTTCTTTTTCTAAAAGTATAACAGCTTTCTGCTTTAGCCATTATTTTACATCTTCACACTCTTGAGAGGATCCCTATGATATGAGTGCCTCCAAGGCGCACAAAACAGGTAGTCATGATGGCAGAGATAGAGGCTGAATAGCTTGGACTCCACTTGCCAAGAGAGTTAATCAAGACACTGCTGCTATGAAATGTCCAACTTGCCAGTGACACAGATCAAGGCTGAGGTCCTGGGAAGGCGCTACTCTTCAAGGAAACCAAATAGCAAATTAGTGGGACATTGACTACTTTGTGTCCCTTTTATCCTGGGAGGGCCAGTCATTAGTTCACACAAGAAAATATACGTATTCTAGTTATAACATTGTCTGCAGAGCTTGAGCTGGCATCACTACTGATGGCATATGGATCATAGGATTTTTTTTTTCTTTTTTTGTTGTGTCTCTGCCAGGTGAATTGTAGGATCTTAAGCATGGAATCTCACACAACTTGGCATATGAACAAAGGATTCATTCACTCTTTAGTGCAGGCGTCCCCAAACTTTTTACACAGGGGCCAGTTCACTGTCCCTCAGACCGTTGGAGGGCCACCACATACTGTGCTCCTCTCACTGACCACCAACGAAAGAGGTGCCCCTTCCTGAAGTGCGGCGGGGGGCCGGATAAATGGCCTCAGGGGGCCGCATGCGGCCTGCGGGCCTTAGTTTGGGGACGCCTGCTTTAGTGTATGAGATGCAGGAATGGTATATAGCAATGAATTATATTGTTTCTATTGTATATCAAATATTAAGAAGCATCTATTCTTCCAGAGTGCTTAGAATGGCCAGCAGAAGGCAGAGCCAGAGTGCCAGCTCAGAAACAATATTCTGAAAGAACTGAGTGCCAGCCTTCACAATGCAGTGTGTATATTCAGTCAGAGATTCCTATGTGGTGTTATATATCCAAAAGAAATAATATATGGGACCAAGAACCAAGGAAGAGAAGCTGGGTGGCCTCACTTACCATCACACGTGATGATCCGATGATCCATTGATCCGCTTCTCCTCCCTGCAACTGTCTGCTCTCTAGGCAGGTCTTGGTCCACAAAGAGAATGCAGCTTTGCCAGAGGACCCAGCAAAAGTTCCATAGACCTGCAAGCTGCCCTCAGGGCATCTGGGACACCTTCTGTTCAAGGACCAGCAGGTAAAAAGAAGAGTCATTTTGACAGGAGAAATTGACCCTGAATAGCAGCGGAGGAGGTAAGACTGGTGAGCGCCAGAAGAGGAATGGAGGATTATATGGAGAAACTAGGGGATTCACTTGGGATCCACTT